TTTCGGTGTCTGGAACAGTCGAGAGAAGTTCCTCCTTGCGCTTAGTATTGGCATTCATCTTAGCCTCTAGTTCTTCGATTTGCGCCTTGATGGAAGCATTCTCTCGATCGATGGCATCAACTTCTTCTTGTTTAGATGCTTTTTGCTTCGACAACTCCGCAATTCGAGAAGTTGTCTCTGCTACAGCAGTCCATGCAGAAGAGCTTTTGCCATATAACATTTCAAGCTGGCTATTAAAGCCCCTTTGTCGCCGATAATCTGCTGAGACTTGATCAATAATGGAGTGTAACTCCATGATAAAGCCTGAAACCTCCGGAGGTACATCTAGCAAGTCTACGGCATTCAAAACAGCCCCCAAATATGATGGAGCAGTAGGGTCCCCCTCCAAAGCTTTCATCAAATCCTTCTTGAAGAACTGAGCCTTAACCTTCGTCAAAGCCTCATCGAGAGGAGAAGTTTCAGTGGACTTCCCCGACAGAGTAGGAGCCTCCTGACTAACATCAGACGAACTTCCCTTGCTCTCGATGATGGCGTTCAGATAGCCAACAGGATCAGTTTGCTTCAAGAGTTCTAAGTCTTCTTTCGACCTATGCTTTGTTGAGGTGACAACCTTTGCAACAGCGTTGTCTTGGAGTTGAGGCTATTGAGTAGCATTTGCCTCGACTTGACTCTCTTCGACTCGGACTGCGGCAGTACCAGCGTCATCATGGTCCCCTTCGCCAGCGTCACCTTGATCCTCTTCGCCAGCGTCACCGCGGTCCCCTTCGTCACGATTTTCTTCCGACAGATCAACCACCTGAATCTCTTTTGGTTGTTGCTCTTCTGTTTGTGGATCTTCTGTTGGTTGTTCTGCTGTCTCAGCATTGGCTTCATTTATTTCAGTATTGGCTTCATCGTTCGCCAAGTCTTTTTCTTGTGGCCTGCTGAGTTCAGCAGAATCCAATGTTTCAGAAGTCCTTGGCGCTGAGCTTTCAGTGGTGTCCTGAAAAGAGAAGAAGAAGAATCTTCTAAATTCGAAAGAGACATAATCGAACGTGGGTATCGACACCTGAGTTACAAAGGGATCAAAGAGATTACCTGCAAAGGAGCTTCAGCCCCAGGGCTGGAATTGTCGCTTTCGACAGGTTTATTGAGAAGAACATTTAATTCCTCCTCCGTTGGCTCTTCAATAATTACTGGAGGTGGCCTGGGTTTTCTCCCAGCAACCTTTATTCTAATTGTTCGAGCCTCAGGAAGAGGAACGTCCTTCTTCAGCTTTCGCCTTTTAAGAGGAGCAGGGGGAGAATAATCTTCTTCATCACTCCCAGATTCGACCGTCAGTGCTGGCCGTTTCTTGGGTGAAGGTGCCTAAAAAACCAATTGGAGTTCGACTTAGAAGCTGCATCGAAAGTCAGAATGTTAAAACCAGAAGAAAATGATAAAAGTTTGGTTACCGATGCAGAAGGCTTTTTCGAAGAGCCTTCCCCCTGTTGATTTGTTGTGGTCTTCGCCGGCGCTATAGTTTTCGCCGGTGGTGGAGGTTTTGTTAAGGGGCCTCCTCCCTGATGGCCTTCTGGAGCCTTCTTGGCTGCAGGCTTTCGAACAACTGAAAGCAGACAAAATAATTAACAGGCTACCAGTCGAAAGGGAAAGACAGAGTAATTTGGAATGATGAACTTACATTTCTTTATTTTGTCCAAGACAAGGACAAAAGACTTCTGAAGTTCGTCCACGAAGTCCTTCTCGTCGAAAAACTCCTCAGTGTAGTAACTTTTCCACCACTCCTCGAAGGATGGTGAACAGAGAAAGTTAAGCTGACAGTCAAACAACGAAAGAACTGTCCGACCAGCATATCTGCCGATATGCTTAGTGGCAGCGTCTTCAGTGTAGTCGTTGCAGAAGTATAACATAGACTTCTCCCTGGGAAAAATTGGAGAAGGTAGTGTTTGGATAATACCAAACTAGCGAGACACCAAGTTTGGTTGATACGCGATTAGACTCAAGTGAGTCTTGGAGCTCTTGAATCGTAGGGGCATTATTCTTGGCGTGAGAAATGCCTCCCACACTGTTGTATGCTCTTCGACCTGAGGACCACTTGACGCCTTAGGATGTGGCCTCGTGAACCACTCTGGGCCAACCTTTCGTCGAGCAAACGGAGCCATGGTCGAAGCAAACTCTTTCCTTTTAGCAAACATCAAGACGAAGTTTGTAAAAGTTTGTTGAAGCTCCAACCTATCTTCCGTTGGAGTCAACAGAGCCAATCTGGTGCCTTCGATGCACCTATTTGCTATTTCTGGAGCCTGCTCATTTATTTGAGTCTTCTGAGGCAAGAAAGACTCGAAGGTGGAATTGAGCCACAGCTGAAGCAGCCAAAAAGGTCCAGCAAGCAGTAGACTGGCTCTGTTCTCGATGATCTTCAGAAGAGTCGCTCCGTTGCTAATCGACTCGTACAGATTCGCCAAAATCAATTCTGCCAAACAGATATTTTGGCCATGGTGGAGTTGAGTGGCGAGAGTGACCATCTTCTTGGTCACCTGTAAAGACTTGGTGCAAAACACAAAGCGTGACAGCCATAGGGCTAGAAACGCGATATGTTCTACGTCCGACACAGCGTCCGTCGACTTATCGTGGTAGTGATTGATGAAGGTGGTGTAGGTTGGTTTTGTGGCAGGGAATCCAATCTGATCCTCCGACATTTCCTCTGGGTCGAAGTAGTCCCCAGTGGGTCGAAGGCCAGTGATGGCGGCCACGTCGAAGAGCGTGGGAGTCAGCATTCCACAGGGAAGATGGAAGGTGAAATGGGTGTAATCCCAGAAGAGTAAGGAAGCTATCAACATTTCTGGGGAATAGTTAAGACCTGTCTTCGACAACATAACCAGGTCGAATATCCCCATGTCTTTCCAGATCGAAGCCTGGCGTTTCTCCATTTTTTCCAGCCAAGCACTATAGTCAGGAGTAAGGCTAGGGCTAGACCTGAAAGCCCTAACACCTCTGTTGAAAAAACGAAGGTCGATTTTCTCCTTAGCATGATCTTCATTATCTTCTGCATCTTTCTTGGAGCATCCAACCGGTTTGAGTTTTTCAAGTACCGGAAAGTAGCTTTTAATCTTCATGGCTTCAGCAATGCTTGGGTATAGTGGGCCAGACATGGCAAAGATTTGGTTGGAATATCCAACCGGAATCATGAGGTGGCGTGAATAAGCATCACGTACAGCAATGTCCAAAGGCTCAGGGACCCTTCGTTGGCCCGTGGGAGTCACTACGGGAGCAGTGGAGAAAATCCTGGGTTTGACATTTCCAGAGGGAGTGTTGGCGCTAGGAGCGTTGGAAGAACCAGATGCCATTGTTGATACTAAGGTTGAAGATGAAGCGAAAAACAGGTGGTTTGCAAAGGTTGCAAGAGTTTGTATGCAATGGGGAATATCCGAAGGCAAGGTAGCGTGAAAAAGTCCCACAATGGGTACTTAGCGCTATTTATAGTAGTTGGGGAAATCCCCAAATTCGAGGACATTTAATGCCATTTAATGTTGTAGAAGGTAGTGGGACATGTGGCGTCTCCCTGTTGTTGTAGCCATTCTGCAGAAATGAAAGGGTGCAGCGTGCGCCCTCGTTTTTGGGAATTGTCATGATGACAATTTGCGAAAAGACGTTTGGCACACTGCACGCCGTACTGAAGTGGCGTCTTAGGTACGGATGAAATGATGGCTTTTCCTTGGGATTGTCAGTGGTTGGTAGAAGACAAAAAAGGTGCACAATTTAATTTGTGACTAAGAATGAAAAGACAGGTGTCGAATGGCATTTCAAAGAATGCCTTTTTCTTTCAGAGTCGAAATAAGGCATTCTTGGGGGGCAATTTGTTGGCTCCTAAATTCGACACCCTTGTTTTATTAATATCAGCCATTAAAGCTGAAGGATGTTTTCGATCAGCTGGGTCTGTCGAAATGCCCATCGAAAGGTGGTAATGTACTTAGAGGATTTCTTCCAAGGGAGAAGTTGGTTGCCTTCGATGTCGAAGGTGTTTCTCGTCGAAGATGCTTCTCGATGAAAGTGTTCGATGGTTCAGAGTGGAACGGTTTGAAATTCAAGCGTTTGGAGGGAAAACGGTTTCCAGCGGTTACCAAGTGCAACGTGCAAAGATCTGGAGCGTCGAACGCTGAGAACGTGCCAAGTGGAGTCATCTCGAAGCAGTGTAACTGCCCGACGGTTACTTGGGATGTTTTAGTATAAATAGTAGTAGGTCACGCAGTTTTTCGCGTGTGTTCACAAATATATACAAAGTCACTCATATAGATTCGAGTACCCAGCGTGTGAGAAAGAATTGTTGAGAATGTATGTGTGAAACACCACTTTTATTAATCAAAGTCATTTATTTTCCAGAAACTTTACTTGCTTTCTTCTTTACTTTTCCTGTCGAAGCCCTTTATTTCAAGCCTTCATTTATTTTATCAAACCCATTTCTTCATGCAATTTACTTAAAGCCTCTTTATTTACTTGTCATTTAACCATTATCCAACTTAATCAAAACCTCAAAATCAACCATGTCTTAGGATCAATCTGATCGATCCTGCGAGTAACCAAATAAGTAACCATTTGGAGGATCAGCGGTTATTTACCAATAACCACGGTAAACACCCCGCCATATTTTTTCCGGAAACACCGATTGGGTTTATGTCCAGATGTCAGGTTTCACCAGTTTCTACTCAAGTTGGTACTGAAAAAGAAGAAAGGGTTGTCGTTACAAAAAAATCTCGAGAGCAATTTACAAGGGATGAAGATATAGTGCTTATCCAATCATGGCTCAATGTTTCAAAGGATCCAATTGTGGGAGTTGATCAAAAAACTGAGAGTTTTTGGTTAAGAATCGCTGCCAATTATAACCAGTATCGTGGGCAATCGCGGGAAAAGTTAGGCGGGCAATTAAAATGTCGATGGCATCGAATAAATGGCTTGGTTCAAAAATTTATTGGGTGTTACAAACAAGCTGTTAATGGAAAAAAAGTGGGACATCGGAGAACGATATCATGGTTGCTGCACATGCTTTTTTTGCTCAGGATGAAGGTACAACATTCAATCTTGAGTATGTATGGCGATTGTTAAAAGACGAACCTAAATGGATGGGAGAATCGATTGGAAATTCTTCAAAAATTACAAAGAGCTCTGCTAGTGGGGCATCATCGGATAACCCAAATACACCTTCAAGTTATGAGTTTAACTCATCATCACCAATGGAGCGTCCAATGGGACAAAAAGCAGCAAAAAGGAAGGGTAAGGCAAAGGAAATTCCAAATGCAATGCAAGATGCAAGGATTAAAAGAGCAGCAACAATGGAAAGACTAGCTCAATGTAAGGAGGACGAGCTAGAACTAAAGGCAATGAATATCATCATGAAAGACACTTCTACTATGAATGATAATCAACGAGATATTCATGAAAAATATTATAATAAGATGAAAAAAAAATATGGAATGTAGTTAGTATCATTGACGTAAAATGGTCATTAGTACCACTTTAATTTATCAACACCTATGTAAAATGGTCATTAGTACCACTTTAATTTATCAACACCTATGTAAAATGGTCATTAGTACCACTTTAAATTATAATAAATATTATGTTATTCAAACTATCCGTTATTCAAACTAGCCGTTATTCAAACTATCCTTTATTCAAACTAGCCGTTATTCAAACTATCTTTTATTCAAACTAGCCGTTATTCAAACTAGCCGTTATTCAAACTATCCTTTATTCAAACTAGCCGTTATTCAAACTAGCCGTTATTCAAACTAGCCGTTATTCAAACCATTATATATACTATCACTTATGTCATTGTTTTCCCATTCTCATCTTATTCTTCTATCATACTTCTCTAATTCTTCTCTCATTTTTCTATCATTCTTAATTCACTAAAATGGATTCAGACAATTCAGATGATTTTGACCAAGAATTTTGGGAGTTGATTGAAGAAGAATTTATCGACGATAGTGATGAAGAACAATTGCTTGAAAATGAACGTCAATCTGGAAGTTCATCTATGCCAAAGAGAAGAACAATGGTAGATCGTAGTCGTGAAGAAGGGCACAATCGATTATTCAATGACTACTTCTCGGAAAACCCAGTATACACAGATGTTCAATTCCGAAGAAGGTTCAGAATGCATAGGCATGTATTTCTTCGAATTGTAGATGCCCTTGGAAATCATGATGAATATTTCCAAATGAGGGTTGATGCAACTGGTAAAATGGGTCTTTCACCATTGCAGAAATGTACATCTGCTATTCGTATGTTGGCGTATGGGTCTCCTGCTGACGTTGTAGACGAATATGTTCGAATAGGTGAAAGCACTTCAATTGAGTGCTTACAAAGATTCGTTCGGGGCGTGAATGTTGTATTTGGGGCTGAGTATTTGAGAAAGCCTAACAACACTAATGTTGGACATCTTTTACAAATGGGAGAGTCACGTGGCTTTCCAGGTATGTTGGGTTCCATTGATTGTATGCATTGGGAGTGGAAAAATTATCCTGTTGCATGGAAAGGACAATTTTGTCGAGGTGATCATGGAAAGCCCACAAGCATGCTTGAAGCAGTGGCATCACAGGACTTATGGATTTGGCATGCTTTTTTTGGTATTGCTGGTTCAAACAATGACATTAATGTGTTAAACCAATCCAACGTGTTTAACGATATTTTGGAAGGACATGCTCCCAATGTGCAATATACAATCAATGGAACACCATATAATATGGGGTATTATTTAGCCGATGGTATATATCCTGAGTGGGCTACATTTGTGAAGACCATTTCAATGCCACAAGGAGAGAAGAAAAAATTATTTACTCAACATCAAGAATCAGCTAGAAAAGATGTGGAGAGGGCATTTGGAGTGCTTCAATCTCGATTTGCAATTATATGTGGCCCAGCGCGTGCCTGGCACATGGACACCCTCAAACATACCATATATGCGTGCATCATATTGTACAACATGATTGTTGAAGATGAACGACATACATATGGAGGTAATTTTGATTACTCTTATGATAATGTGGATAACAATCACTCAACAACTGAAATATTTAGCGGTCCTCATCTGAATCTTGCAACAAGACTACAAAGAAGAGCAAATATTCGTGAAAAACAAGTTCATCGTCAACTTCAAGGAGATCTAGTCGAGTATATTTGAAACGTTTTGGACATGAAGATGATGAAATTTAAGTTTGATTAATTTATGTGATGTTATTTATTTTTATTGTTTTTAATTATATGTAATGTATTTGAAATTAATTTTAATTATCATTCTAAATTATAAGTTTAATTTGAATTTTATTTATTTTATATAAATTTTAATCTAAATAATTAAAATTATTATTTTAAATGATATAGAATTTAATATGAATAAAATATTAATATATAAAGTGAAGTTGTGGGACCTATTATGAGTTCTTTAGAGTTGCACCATTGGAGTGAAAAATTAATTGGGTTGCTTCAAACTAACGTGGCTTAATGGGTCCCGCAAAAAACCTAAAATTGAGTTGCACCATTGAAGATGCTCTTAATAGAACAAAAAGAACAAAAAGAAAATAGAAAAAAAGACTTAAAGTAAACTCAATATTACCTTATTGGCATAAAATTCTACCGCAGATTGAGCAAGTTTGTCTGTTGCTGCAAGCAAATCATTAGAACAGTTTCGGAAAAACGCCTGAAAAGTTTCTCAGCAATGTGATACTGTAACAGCTGCACCAGCAATTTTGAGTCCGAATCCGAATCTCCTGCAATCGCCGAAGATAGACAAAGCAAATGTGACCCTACAAATATAAATAGGCACACAAAAACACACCGTTAGAATTTAAGTAGAAAAATATAACTACCATAAATTTGGAAACAAATAGCTTAAAGATTGTGTAGAATAGCAACATATAGTGCAGAAGCCACAAACATTTACAAAATATTGTTTTTACAGAAGGATTTGTGCTTACCACCCCATCTAATGATTGAATAGCACTGTTGATCTCTTCAGCACTACTGGAAAGTCGCAAATCCAAAGCCTATAGACCTTTCACTACAGATCGAAATCTATCCGCAATCAATCTCTCCGTCGATTTTCCACCACAGATATTCAAACAATTTAAATCAATCAGGCCCAAATCTAAAATATAAAAGTGATTAGTTTCTTACTAAATTGCTTTATCCACGAACATTATCCCCATATGTGTATGTAAGAAATATACTATATCATATACTTATAATCGACATAATTTTTATATATATTATAATTTGATTAATTAAATTAATATTTATATGACAATCAAAATTGAAATATTTTTTTTCTTAATTTATATATATTTTTATATTTTTTTAATCATAATTATTTAATATTTATGTATGTTGTTTACTAATTTTAATTGCTCATATTTGACTTTTAAATGCAAAATGTATATCCCAATAGACAAAATTCTATAGTATATAGATCTGAATCCTCTTCAGCACTTTTGCAGATTCCATCTTAACCATTCATCTATTTTTTTTATATCTTTTAAAAATAAATAAAAAATTATTTATTTATTTTGTATTAATTCTTAGCCATTAGATGAAGAGAGAGAGATGGCAGAAGAGGAGAGACATTAGAGGATCTGTTTCCTAAAAACAGTATACAAAAACATAGATTTAGATCTTGTCTTTTTTGCACACAGCAAAAACAAAAAAGGAAACTAAAGCTTACGTACTTTACAATTCTAGCAAGTAGTCCTTAGTACAAGTTTTTCATGCAAATAAGTTATGTCAACGTAGTCAAAGCTATGGGAAACAAAAGCAGAAACTTGACAATATTATGGATGCATCAGTTATTGGAATTGGAGTGAGGCTTTGGATTCCTGCTATCACCGAGACGAATGATAAAGTAGAGAGCGTTACTTGTAAACATGGATACTTCCGTAACCCTACGTTTCACCTCCACCTTCATCTTCTCTTCTGCGTCACTCCTATTCAAACCGTTGATACACGCGTTACCGTTTGTTATTGCAGTACTAGCCCATGTCTGAGCGTTACTCATTTGCCACTCGAACGTTCCCATCTGAAGCTTCCGTAACTCGTTCAACGTCCGGTTTAATTCAAGAACAGAATCGGAAATCTGAGCAGCACAGTCACTCAATGCAACTCGCTTTCTGTTGTTACTTTTAGACCCAACTGTCAGCTGTGACTTTAGAGTGTTCTTGAGGTAAACGGAAAGAGTGAGAGTGCGGGCGAGACTGGCTTTAACGGCGGCCTGAGCCAGGTCTAAGGGCTTCGCCGTGGGACTGACTTTGTTGGAGAGTGTTTGGAAGCAGAGAGCTGGGTATCTTGCTTGTGCACACGATGAACGGAGGAGATCTTGCGGTGTGTTTGCGGCGGTTGAGAATGAAAGCAAGAGCAAGAAACTAACAAGAACTGTAATGGAGATATGTATTTGCATTTTTTGTTTTGTTTTTCGAGGAGAGTGTTAGTTAGTGTTAGGTTTGAGAGTGTAAGTGAATAGAAGAAGTTGAGATGGCTTTATAGGAGAATGATGTTGGTGCCTTTGGTTTGAAGATCTCTAAGTCAAATGAGTGGTGATATTTTAGCCACCTCCCACGATCTCATAATAGTATTCATTAACAAGATGTAATAATTAATTAACTAGTACTACTACTTGTTGGTATCATAAACAAGTAAAGAAAACTATGAACTGTCTCCAGATGTGATATGGTCTCCTTATTTTAACATTAATTCTGTCTGGTTTGCCTTTAAATTTGTTAAGCTATGTCGGTCATTGCATGACCATGCATGTTAAACTATATGTTTGTCATTTCAGTCATTTCAAATTAGGTGTGCCAATGGATTGGTTATAGGCTCCAATCCATTGAATAATCAGATCGTTTAAGATATTGAGCCTTTATTTTAGGATATATTTGTTTTGGAATACATGTTTAGTTGGAATATGATTGGTAAATATGAGCGTCAAGATTCTCCAATCGATTGTCTCAAGTGTCAATCGTTAGGTTTACGCCAGTCATTCTTTATGGTGTATTTTAGACCTTGTGCTGGATTATATTGCTTTTGTGTATTTCTGTTTAATTTTATTTGCAGCTCCTCTCTATAAAATACTTAGAAACTTATCGTTTTTGTGCGTAAATATGATTTGTTGAAATGAACAAAATTAAATCACTATTTTTAAATGATTAATCGGGATTTTTTGATCATTTCAACCTTAAAATAATGTACTAACTATATTATCAAGAGACCTTGATAAAACTTTCTTTAGTGGAACACCAAATCACTATGTCGTGTCCTTCTCATCGTTGGATGCGAGAGTTCGTTCAAATAACAAGCTGGATAAGTCCATCATAGATATGTTGACTCAATCTACTATGAGGTTAACTGATCACTGAGTATCATAAATGTTGAAATATCTTCAATGAAAAACTTTGCTTTGATCGCCATCGTTGATATCGACCATTATCTA